TTTTCCATCATCTCTTTCTGCAGATGTAGTCAATTTGATTTCTATGTATTCCACCTTGTGAGGTTCATGTGTATTTTGCTGTCTAAAGAAGGTATTTGAAATGAATAAATCATTGGTTTTGCAGAATTATATCATGCGTTCTTCAGCATCATTTGTATCACCAAGGTCATATTTTCCAATTACTGTTCCTTCCTCTTTACTCCCAACCTTTGCATTCTAATCACCAGTAATGAGCAATACATCTTGATAGCATGTTTGATCAATTTCAGATAGAAGAATTTGGTAGAATTCTTCTATTTCATCCTCACTGGCTTTAGTGGTTGGTGTGTAATGTTGAATAATAGTGGTATTAACTGGACTTTCCTGTAGGCGCATGGATATTATCCTATCATAGACAGCATTGTACCTCATAATTGATTTGGATATGTTCTTTTTGATGATGAATGCAACACCATTCCTCTTCAATTTGTCATTTCCAGCATAGTAAACCATGTGGTCATCAGATTCAAAATGGCCAATACCAGTCCATTTCAGCTCACTAATGCCTAAGAAATTGATGTTTATGCTTTCCATTTCATTTTTGACAACTTCCAATTTTCCCAGATTCATACTTCGTACATTCCATGTTCTGATTGATTTTCAGTGGATGTTTACAGCTGTTTCTCTTCATCTGGAGTTTTGCCCCATCAGCAAACGAAGGTCCTGCGGGCTTTTCTCCCACAGTCTTTACTCCATTCGCGTGAACACTGTCAAGTCCACTTTGAGGAGGCAGCTCTTCCTCAGTTGCATTTTGAGTGCCTTCCAACCTGATGGGCTCATTTTCTGGCACTATATCTTACAGTGTTTCTCTGCTGTTCACAAGGTTTTCAGTGACTAACGTTTCTGAAGTAGTTCGTCACTCTTTCTTCCTAGTCTGTCTTCATCTGGAACTCATCTGAAACCTGTCCACCATAGCTGACACTGTTGGTATTTAAAATATCAGTGGCATAGCTTTCAGAATCACAGAAACTCACAACTCACCACAATACAACAAAGCATAATAATAGGAGACTTTATTACACCACTTTTGATGAAGAGATGAATAGCTAGAAAGAAATTCCACGAAGACACAGAAGAACTAAATAACACAATCAACCAACTTGACTACATCGTTGTTCAAGTACTGTTGAGCTGGTTCCAACCTATAGCGAACCTGTATGCAGTTTCTGAGGAGTGGCTGTTGAGTTTGAACCACCAACCTTGTCGTTCAAACTGACCTATTGGTTGAATGCTTATCCTATAGCTCCACACCAGGACTCCATCAAATTGTTTATGTTGTTAAGTGCCTCGAGTCGGTTCCAACCCATAGTAACACTGTATAGGGTTTCCAAGGAGTAGCTGGTGAGTTGCAACTGCCGACCTTGCAAATCAAAGAAGACTTTGCAGTCTAGTGCATCAGTGCACTGTACCACACCAGGACTCCATCGTGTCAATTAGACATATATAAAACATTCCACCCAACAACTGCACAGTACACATTCTTTTCCAGTGCACACGGAATGTTCTCTAGAACAGATCACATGTTAGACTACAAAGCAAGCCTCGATACATTTTAATATATTGAAATACTACAAAGCATCTTTGTAGATCACAATGCTATAAAATTAGAAATCAACAATAGGAAGATCAGGGGGAAAAATCAAATACATGAACACTGAATAACACTCTGCTTAAAAACTAGCTGGGTTAATAGGAGAAGTAAAAAATGAAATTAAGAAATTCTTTGAATCAAATAAGGATGAAAATGCAACATACCAAAACCGTTGGGGAACAGCAAAAGCAGTGCTCAGAGGGCAATTTATAGCAGTAAATGCACAGACCCAAGAAAAAGAAAGAACCCAAATCAATACCTTAACCCAATTATGTCCAACAATTAGAAAAAGAGCAGCAAAGTTAAGTATAGATTAGAGCAGAAGTAAATAAAACAAAAAAGCAATAGAATCAATAAGACTAGAAGAAGCTAGTTGGTTTTTTTTTTTTTTAAAGATTAATAAAATTGATAAACAACCAACAAATCTAGCAAAGGAAAAGGAGTTGATGAAGATAACAAATAAGAAATAGAATGGGTGTCATCACAACAGAACCAAGTGGAAAATAAAGCATAATATTGATACTATATAGAACTGTGTGTGATTCTGTGGGTTAATGTGCTGGACTGCAAGGTCAGTTTGAGCCTCAAGGTCAGTGGTTCAGGCTTACCAGTCCTTCTTAGAAATCCTATACTAACAACCGCTAAGAGTTGTTAGTAACAACAACAACAACATATAGAACTGGACCCCAACAAATTTGAACCTTCACTTAGTTCATAATAAAAAGTTAACAAGAAAAAGAAATGGTACCTGGTTATCAAGAATGAAGCACATATAAATGTCTTACTGTATGCGTAGTTAAGTAGGTATTTTATAGAAAAACAATAACTGGACATTTACTAAGCACTTTCTGTATACTAGGCATTGTGCTAAGTGCTTTGTGTACATTTAATCTTCACAGTAAATCCATGACCTTGTTGTTGAAGTGCTGTCAAGTCAATTCTGACCCATATCAACCCGGTATAGGGTTTCCGAGCAGTGGCTGGTGAGCTTGAACCGCTGATCTTGCAATTCAAACCAACTTCATAGTCCAGTGCATTAACCGAATGTGCCACATAGATACTGTTTTTATCTTCAATTTGCCAGTGAAGAAATAGACGTAGGTTAAATAATGTGCTCAGGAGTATGTTGCTAGTAAATGGTAGAATCAAGATGCATACCCAGGTTTGTAGGGATTAGAACTACAGGTTGAATGTAAATTTCATCTTCTAACAGCTTGGTCTGATTCGGAGCTATTATAGGAGCTCTGGTAGCATAATGGGTTATGTGTTGTGCTGCTAACTCTAAGGTCAGCAGTTTGAATCTACCAGCTGCTCAGAGGGAGAAGAATGAGGCTTTCTGCTCCTGTAAAGATTTATAGCTTCAGACACCCTATACAGACTCTCTAGGAGTTGGAACCGACACTGACACCACAGCACATAACCACCACCAACCACCATGTGTGGCGCTGTAGGATAAACACTGGCCTGCTACAGGGTTGGTGGTTCAAACTCATGAGTTGCTCAACAACATAGCATCTATATTGTACCATGTAGCACCTGACTTTATAGAGCTATTTGAGAAATTCTGATGTTTGTTGTTGTTGTTGTTAAGTGTCATCGAGTTGGTTCCAACTCTCATAGCGACCCTGTATAGGGTTTCTGAGGAGCTGCTGGTGAGTTTGAACTGCTGACCTTGCTGTTCAAACCAACTGTGGTCCAGTGCTTATCCTACAGTGCCACACCAGGACCCCTTCTGATATGCTAGTTTCACATATTTATACTTCCCTTGTCTTTTCACTTTTTAAAGGAGAGTTGCTGTGTTCCTTGACTGTATAAAACGGGATTTATGGAGTTACTGATTCTTGCTTGTCTTCAGGTAGTTTAACTGTGAACGTGATATTTTTATTTTTTCTGGCTAAGAATCCTTTTGAGGTATTTAAAGAGGTGTAGTACAGTATGTCTCTAAAAAGCTAACAGAGTGTGACTTTGTTTTTTTATATTTGAAGTTACAGAATGAAAGAAGTAAAGAAAAAAAAATGGTTGAGAAGCAACGTGGCATTCAAAGTAAGAAAACTTTTTAAAAACTTCATTCTTTATAAATGCTTGGTCATGTAAAAATGTTGCATATTTAGAGTTTCCAGTTCCTTTATTTACATATTTTAAATGTTGCCATATCTTTACAGGTTCTAATTAAACTCAAACTAAAAAGAAGTTTAAGTTACATTACTCATTGGTATTTTCAGTTATCATTTGAATTTGCTTGTTTAGTTTACTTCATAAACTATAATACCAAACCATGTTAAATAATCACCTAATATCTAATCCTGGTGTGGTGCTGTAGGATAAGCACTGGACTGCAGTGTCTGTTTGAACTGCAAGATTGGCAGTTCAAACTCACCAGTGTTCCTTGGAAACCTTATACAGGGTTGCTATGTGTCGGAACTGACTCAACGTTACTTAACAACAACAAATACCTCGTAGCAGCAAGAAGAAAGGGTAACAGGATCTTGTTTTATAGCTCATCTAATACATATGGATACACTACACATGAAGTCATTTTTCCTCCTTCTGCCCCCGCCCCCAAAGTGAGAAATAGAAAAAATACAGTAAAAATGAAGTATTTCAACCCACATGATTTCTCTTCTCTCTAAAAACATCAGCAGTTGACTCCATAACATTTTATTAATGTCTATTTCGTTTGCTGGTCCTGGGTCCTCTCTTCGAAGTAAGGACTGAGCCCACAGGACCAATGATTTGGGTTTCAGAATTCCAGGAAGCAGAGGCTGATAGTCAGGAGGGCCTCGGTTTTATGAGAGGTTTGGGTCCAGTAGAGGGACGGATCATGAACAGCACAGGATTCTGTTGGGAGCCATGTAGCTGGTCCCTTGCCAGTGTCTATGACTCAGTCTGCATGCTGTCTGCATGTACCTGAAGACAGAAGCATTTGCCCACATTAGCCAGATGGTACAGCCTGTGCCTATCACTCCCTACCTAATATTCTGCTCTCCAGTAAAAGCTCTTGAGAAGTGAATTTATTCCTGACACAACAACATGCTTGTTAAAACACTGATGAATGGTGAGGATCAGTCTTCTGAAAGCTGTTTAAAGGGAAAGTAGAAGACCTGGTAGGTTAGGGTAGGAATTCAAAACAACCAGTGTTCTTCTGGTGTGTTCACTAATGACAGGTTGTATTTGGTCAGAATTATATAGGTGAGGTAAGTTGAGCCTCCTGACTGCCTGGTAATCTAGGAGGAGAGCTAGTTACCTACTTTTTTCTGGGCTTGGTGTATTTATTAATAAAAGAAAAAGCATTCTGATACCTTGACACTTAAAATGATCAATGATAAAATCAAATATTTATATTTATTTGGTCTTCCAAATGGTTTTAAACTGAATGGTGATGATGATGACAACTGCCATCTATTAAGCTTTTACTAAGTGCTTAAGGAGTCCTGGTGTGGTGCTGTGGGTTAATGCGTCAGACTGCAAAGCCGTTTGAATTGCAAGGTTGGCGGTTCAAGCTCACTAGCTGCTCCTCGGAAACCCTTACAGGGGTGCTATGGGTCGAAAACGACTCGACGGCACTTTACAGCCACAACAACAAGTGCCTTAAACGAGTCCTGATGGAACAGAGGGTTACACGTTGGACTGTTGTTAACTGTAGTATCCGTAGTTCGAATCCAGCGATCACTCCACAGGCTAAAGATGAGGCTTTCTGCTCCCATAGAGATTTACAGCCTTAGAAACCCTAAACTGGGTCACTATGAATCGAAATGGACTCGATGGCACACAACAACTACTACTACAAAACCATAAACAGAACTTGGCATAATACATAGATTATTTTGTGCTTTTCTTTTTTGTTATAATGATGCTTGATTGGTAAAATATAGAATATTTAGAACAGTGAAATTCCTTCTTAATTCCAATTATGAAAGACAGCTATTGCTAATATTCAACTTATATACTTCTGTTGTTGTTGTTAAGTGACATCTAGCTAATTCTGACTCATGGCGACCCTGTACAGAATTTCTGAGGAACAGCTGGTGGGTTTGAGCCACTGACCTTGTAGTAGTAGTACAGTGCGTATCTTACAGTGCCACACCAGAGTCTAGGTTCTTTTATATATGTAAAGGATTGGACTGCAAAGTCTGTATGAACCACAAGGCAGGCAGTTCAAACTTACCAGCCGCTCCTTGGAAACCCTATACAGGGTCACTGTGAGTCAGAACTGACTCCATGGTACTTAACACCAAACAAAACAACAATATCCTGGTGTGGCACTGTGGGATAATGCTCTGGACTGCAAGGTCACTTTGAACTGCAAGGCTGGCAGTTCAAGCTCACCAGCCACTCCTTGGAAACCTTATGCAAGGTCGCTATGAGTCAGAACCAACTTGAAGGCACTTAATAACAACAACAAAATGTATATATGTATGTGTGTGTGTGTGTGGTTACACACAATTATATATATTTAAGTACATGTTAACACTACCCATTTTTTCACTTAATAGATCTTGTGTATCTTTTCATGTCAAATATATAAAATTCTCCCTTATTCTCTTTAACAGTACTTGATATTCCATTATATGTATCATAATTTATGTAACCAGTTTCATGTTGGTAGATTTTCAGGTTCTTCCTAGTATGGGGTCAATATAGAGAGTCATTCAGTAAATATCTTGGACATAAATTTTTGTACACTTGCTCAATTGTTTCCTTCAGATAAACTTCTAAAAGGAGAATGATGATGACTCCAAGGGTATTGCCAGCGGCCCTTTAAAAAGACTGTTCCTACTGATACTGCATTAGCGTTTGAAAGACTTCATGTCCCCCAAACTCTACCAATGCTGGCATTTTCATTGCTGGTCTTTAGACATTATTTCTCAGACATGTAAAAACCCAGCAGATTTTAGATATGATAAAAATGGAGACTCAAGGAAGTAAGATCACTGAGCTGGTCAGTGATGGCTCTGGGGTTTGAGCCAGCCCTTTATGGTTTCAAAGTAGTGTTTTCTCTACCTTACTTCATTTTCAGCTTAGAAATTTGCTAAGCTCACTGTTGCGTATCTTTCCATTGCCATTTGCAATGTCACGGGAGTAAGCAAACATGGCCATAGAGAGCAAATGCATGTAAGCCTGTTCTTCTCTGAGAAGAAAGCTATTGCTGCTATGGAGTGGTGAAATTATTAGACCTTTCCTATCAGGTTAAAGACATCAGTTACCTAGCATTTATCCTGGAGAAGGAGAGAGAGAGAGAGAGAGGGAGGAGATTTCTCATTGCTATTTAAGCAGTTCTTCTATGTAACCTCTTTTTAACACAGGGGCAGATTTTCTGGTCAGTGTGAGTATAGCTAAGAAAAGAAAAGATAGTGGAAGGTAGTGGATGATGAGAACATTTGTGATATAAAGAAACGCAGCCCGCAGGGAGTGAGCTTAGTTTTCCTTCAGCTCTGCCATTGATTTCTCTTTCTTCTCTTAGTGGAATCCGTGAAGACATCTGTCCAGGAATCTGGAGTGGTTTTTCCTAAGGTACGGAATGATCCTATTTGTATTCACATGCACACTATCTGCTGAGCGCACGGACTTCTTTAAAAATATCTGTCCATTAAGAATTCTTCATTACAACTATAAGATTCTGAGTGCTGTTCTCCTGAGAACGCTTTTGCAGGGACCCTTGGATGTCATAGAGACAGATGTTGGAGTGGATTGCATAAGTGAACTTTGGAGTGCAGGGAAAATCCAGAGTGGTATTTTGACTCGCAGCTGAGTGATTGCTGAGCGTTTATGTAGGCAGTAACACTGAACCTTGACGGGTTCTGGATGTTGCTTAGGCTGATGTTTCTCCTTAAGAAGAAACTATAGAAGGCCTCCTTTTGTTCTGGTTTTGGGAAGATGCCGCTGTATAACTTCTTGAGGTCAGGCTACTGTAGAAACATGACCCATTTTTTCTGTTTCAAATGATCTTTTTCCATAAAGCTGAGATATGTGGAAAGATATTTCAGTTTTCATTAAATTTCAATAGAACCTAAAATAACTCATGTACACTACTCTAGTAGAGGGAAAATGCTGTATTAACAGGAAATGTCAGTCATGATGACTTCAGGCTGTGTGTATTGAATGACTGTCCTGCCAAAGGGATGTTGAGGGCATCCGGAAGTGATGGTATGTGGGTGGGGGAACTTCCGAGAACAGAGCAATATCCAGAGTCGTTAACAACCCCAGTTTTCCTTTCCAGCATATCCAGGAAGAACGATACAGTATGCAAAGCAAGCCCCTCGGAATCTGTCTGATAATCGATTGCATTGGCAATGACACAGGTAGGTGCGGATGCCCTGAACACAGGTTCAACAATGCCTTCACAGTGAGTTCATGGCACAGGCAGGCTGTATCAATCAGAGTGATCAACACTAGCTGCTGTCACAAACCATTACAAAAAGCTGTGGCTTTATACAATGAAGGCTTGTATCTTACTCATGTCACAGTGCAATGTGGATTGAGTAGAGAGAGCTTTGTTCCATGTGATTTTCAGTGACTCCATCATCTTTGGAAGCCTTGGGGTCTTCTGCAGGATCCTCTGTATCTGACAGGTGGATGAAGGAAAAGAGAGCGTACCTGGAGAACCTCACAAGGGATTTAGTTAGGTCCCAGTCCTGAAAGTGATCATTCTTTTTACCTACATTCTGTTGATCAGAAATCATTCACGTGGCCCTACTTAACTGCAGGGGAAATGAGAGAATTAGCCCAGCTGTGTATTAGGAGACTAAGGAATAGAGTTACGTGAACTCATAGCATTGTCTCTGCCACAAGGCTTAGTTTGAAAATTGTTGTGCTTTGGTCTTGCCTTTTCATCCTTAATACTGCAGCATGGAGAAGCCCTGAGTTCCAGAAACTGATTTCTGGATCCATATATTGTCAGACCCCATTGAGTCACCTCTCTTTGGAATGGGTACAAATACGGATTTTTTCCAGTCAGTTGGCCAGATAGTTGCCTTCCAAATTTCTTGGCATAGATGAGTGAGTGCCTCCAATGCCACCTCACTTTCTTGAAAGATTTCTACTTTTATTCCCTCAATTCCTTGAGCCTTGTTTTTTTTTTGCCAATTCCTTCAATGCACCTTGGTCTTCCTCCTTCAGTATCATTGGCTCTTGATCATATGCTACCTTTTGAAATGTTTGAATAGCAACCATTTCCTTTTGGTACAGTGACTCTGTGTATTCCTTCCATCTTCTTTTTTTTTAAATGTTTTATTGTGAATTATGTGATAGTTTACATAGGAGAACATTAGCTTTACATTCATCCTATCGTATATAGTTTCATTGCCATGGTTACAATCCTCTCCATGCATCATCAACCAACCAAAGGGTATATCCTACAAGCCTGCCCCCACCCCCAAACCCGCCAGTCATCAACACACAGCCCCTCTCCCTCTCTGTGTCTAAAGTCTCCAGCTGCTCCATCTCTCCATGTCATTGTCTCTGCCTCCAACTCAGGGATCACTGCTTCTCTGGGTAGGGTCCTGCTCTCCACTCTTCTCCCTTGATGGTTCCAGGGACCTCTGCTCCTAGACTGAAAAGTTAATCATTCCCCTCCTTGCTACAAAATGTCTACCTTTACATTTCCAACCCTCACAATCAGTCCTGATAACAATTATTTACTATTGTCACAAGAGACCTATCCACATTTCCTTTCATCAGTCCTGCCTAGACATATTGAATACTACTCAGTGGAGAGTCTACCTTCCTCCATGCCATCTGGATCTACGTTACCTCTTGAAAGCTTGTAAGCCAGTCACTTTGTGCCTTTGTAGCCCCCCCATTTTTGGTAGCCATTGTCCAAGTTGCCCATCCCTGTCTACTCTGTGTATGGAAGGGGTGGGAATGATCCTTGCTGTAAAGATTTGTTCCCTCTTTTGAGCTACTGCATCCATAGGTGTAGGTCAAGTTCATCAAATTGTATCAGATTACTCTTTTTTTCCTCTTCTTTCTTCTTCTGGTTGAGCTCTGATCATCCAGTCATTGAAGCCAGGTCAAGTAGGTATTATCTGCAAGTGTGGGTGTTCTTGTGCATATTCCTTCTCTTCTTATCAGCTGGATGCCTCAGTCTCCACTATAGTCGTCTATGGCTATGTTACTGACTCTGGGTCCAAGAGTCCCTGGGTCTTGCCACACTGTTGGCCAACCAGGTCTCCACCCGGTTCACAGGAGTCTATTGAACATTGCAGGGCTTAGCTTGCAGCTTCATTGCTGTTTTTCCCTCACTTCCCCTTATTGGTGATGAATGTGGTCACCAATCAGAGCGTGTATTCCCATTGAGTCTTAGTCTTGGAAGGGGGTTTACTCTGAGGGGACCAGACCACTTGCCTTGATGTCTCCTGGGCGAGCAACTTGCTTCTTATAGTAATCAGTCTGTCTGCCTATATTGTTTTGTATTTTTCCTGTTGGTCTTTCTTTCAAGAAGGATCTTCTGCTCTTCTAGGCGATCCAGGCTGGTCTGCCCATCCTTACCAAAGGAAATTTCCCACCTCTGAAGATTCTGGATACTGTTCAGGATTCCATCTATAGTCTTATATAATGCAGAGGCTCCACAGGAATTCTAATCAGTTATAGGCAGAAGACGGACTTACAAGCTTTCTATGGTGATATTTCTGGCTATTCCTTTCTCTCCCCTTCTAGTGTCTATTTTATAATGTAATGCAAGGAAAACCAAGATTCAAAAGACAGTCAAGCATCTTAACCTTCCATCTTCTTTTGATGCTTTCTGTATCTTTCAATAATTTGCCCAGGGAACTCTTCAATAACAAAAGTCGAGGCTTGAATTTTTTCTTCAGTTCCCCCAGCTTGAGGAATGTTGAGTATTATCTTCCTTTTTGGTTTTCTGACTCCAGATCTTTGCACATTTAATTGTAATATTTGACTATCTTCTCGAGCTGACTTTTTAAATATTCTTGAGCTGAGCTTTGAAACCACCACTCGTCTGTCAGTTTGTCGTACAGTGGCGGCTTGTGAGTTGCTGTGATTCTGGAAGCTATGGCACCAGTATTTTAAATATCAGCAGGGTCACCCATGGTAGACAGGTTTCAGATGAGCTTCCAGACGAAGACGGACTAGAAAGAAGAAGTGACAAACTACTTCCGAATATTTCGTCACTGAAAACCAGAGAAACGCTGTCAGATTTAGTGCTGGAAAATGAGCCCTTCAGGTTGGAAGGCACTCAAAATGTGACTGGGGAAGACCTGCCTCCTCCAAGTAGAGTTCACCGTGATGACACAAATGGAGTAAATCCCGTGGGAGTAAAGTCCACGGGACCTTCGTTTGCTGATGGGGCACAACTCAAAATGAAGAGAAACATCTGTAAACATCCATTAATAATCAGAATATGGAATGAATCTAGGAAAATTAGAAATTGTCAAAAATGAAATGAAATGGAATGCATAAACATAGATGTCTTAGGCATTAGTGAGCTGAAATGGATATGATATTGGCCATTTTGAATCTGTCAACCACATGGTTTACTATACCAGGAATGACAGATTGAAGAGGAATGGTGTGACATTCAAAAAGAATGGTGTGACATCCAGATCAGTCATGAGGTACAATGCTGTCTGTGCTAGGCACTCACTACAAGTTTGGTAAATGTGTGTTCAACTAGCAGCCTTGGGTATTATCTGAGAAATGCATCATTTAGTTTTGCTATCCTTTCTTTACTTTTGTGTGGGCTGAATCTGTTCTGTCCTCTTGAGCATGACCATTGTTTGGTCCAGAATTGATTCTTTTGTTTGATTGTTATTGGATGTCTGACTCAAACGGAATCACTGGTGATGCAGAGTGAAGAGAAGTGGAATAACATTATGTTTAATAATTTATCTCTTCCTTGAGAAGATTGATGTAGAAGTTTGCAAACATCTCAACATTCTCATAGGATGAGTCAGACTTGAATGTTACCAACAAGGAGCCCTGGCAGTGTATTGGTGTAGAACTTAACTTCTAACTGAAAGGTTGACAGTTCAAACCCACCAGCTTTCCTGCAGGAAAAAGATGTGGCAGTCTGCTTCTGTAAAAGATTCCATCTTTGGAAACTCTATGAGTCAGTTCTGCTTTGTGGCTTATAGGGCTGCTTTGAGTCAGAACTGACTTGATAGCAGTGGGTTTGGATTGTTTGGTTTGTGATCCTAGGAAGTCTTGAAAGATATTCTAAGACAAACTAAAATGAGCAAATATTAGGATGGATTTTCCAGGATTTCAGATACGATCCCATTTTCTCGTGTCCTATTTTTGGTTAGATGTGAGAAATGCTGTCTCCTCAGCTCCAAATAGGTGTTCTTTCTTTTTTAGCCATTAATACCCATATGAGAATGAGAAAATATTTTCTTAATGAGTCACTTTTTCTTTTAAAAGAGGTTATGTAATTGTCCTCCAGTTGATGTTTTATCAGCAGGAAAGTTCCCAGTTGCACATGGTACTGAGTATATCTTTTGTATCAAAAGATAAAACGATGATTTTCTGTGAATTGATAAATTAAGTTATTTGTGACTTAAATTCGATGTCTGTGTTTGCTTTCCTTGCTGGGTTGTGGACCTTTTGTAAGCAAGAACTGAATGAATATGTGTATTGTTGTGCAATTATAGCAATGTGGTCAGGGCCCTAGAATACAACTGTGGAGTTTAAATTATGGTTGTACTAGGTCCTAGCTTGTTACCTTGGACAGCCTTGTTATCTAGCCTATGATTCATTTGCTCTTCTGTAAAGTGGGTGGATAACAGGACCTGCTTCACAGAGTCATACAATATAAGTTCATATTTGTAAAAGAACATAGGGCAGCACCTGGCATGTTGAATTCACTCAGTTCCAGCCAGTATTACTTTTCTTTCACTGTGTTTGTTTCATTTTGGTTGTGAACCATTAGCTCAGAACTTGCCACAGCTTTGTGCTTGGTATATGGAGTCTAATCCCAGACAAGTGAGGGATCAGGGAACTTAGAGCCTGGAGTCTGGGCTGGGCTCAGGGGTGGAAGCAGTATGTTCCAAACAAGTGGTACACTGGATGAAGGTGATAGCATGAGAGGGTAACCATCCCGGGCAGATATCCAGGTAGATAGCTAGAAAGATCGATCTAACCAGCCATCAGTTTGAATGGGTTTTGCAGAGAAAAAAAAAAAAAATCAGTACAAAAGCTGTGGTGTGGGGAGGGCAGGCCAGAATTGATAGGAGAGTTGGAAGAGGAGAACAGAATTGGAGGTGGAACCTGAGACATTATGCTTTTGGTCAGAGATCTGAACAGGACTAACCTCAGGTTTGTTTGAATACTTCCTGCCCAGTAA